GTCATCGCTGCAGACCCCCACTGCCCCTCCACAACCGACAGCCGACGCGGCGAAGCCGCCATGGACCTGCTGCCTGTAAGACACAGCGCAGGACATTCGACGAAAACTCACCTCAATACAGAGATGGATGCGCCCTTATTTTGAAAATAGAGTCCGCAGGACAACATTTTTTAAAATCCTGTTTGAATCGTGACATTAACTGATTTAAAAGATTATTTAACTATTATTGGCTTTCAGTTAAATCCTTCTTTTATTTCAATTTTATTATTATACAAATTTTCAGTTGGTATTCAAAGATAGATGTGTGACATTTCAAACTAGTATTTTTGTAATGTTGTTTATTTGACGCGTAAAGAGAGGTTGCGTGCGTCAGGGTCTAGTTTGCAGCTGTAATGACCCTGGAGGATCAGCGGACATGCGCGATTCATTCTCAGCGCGGACGGAGACGCGTTGTCTCTGCTCTGACGGCTCTGTGAGACGCTGAGGACAGGAAGTGCAGAGAGACGGACGAACGGAGGTAAATCGAGCCGCTGTAGAGATCAACGCTGATTGGCTGATTGCAAAGATCACAACGTCATCGTTTGTCCTCGTCTCACTGCGACCTCAGAAACGCTTGCGGGTCAGTTGATGAATGAGTGGACGAGTCATCACGACGTCTCTTGTTACATTAAGACGTTTTGAAACCACCAGTTCAGTGATTTGGCCGTTGCCATCTTCTAATCAGTGAGGTAGAGACCTGTCAATCAGCGTTAGGCCCCGCCCTAAAGCGTCCCCTGCTTTATGGTCTGTTTGACTCTAAAAAGGACCATCATTTACTACATGAACATCACGCTGCGTTGAGACTTGAGCTTTAAACCTTGTTAGAATACAAAGTTGGTCTCTTGTAATTAGGTTCTAGATCAAATTGAGACGTTCTTGGAGTCCACCGGAAGAGGCGGGACTTATCCTCTACTGACCTGCAGGAGAGAGGGGCATGTTGAGATACATGCTGAGAGAGCGGAGCTGGCTGTAGAGGTCAGAGTGGGGGGGTGAGTCCATCATGAACTCCTCCTTCATCAGAGACGTTGGACCTGAAGAAGGACAGAGGAGAGACAGGTCGACCAATGAGCTGCGGGGGCCTGCTGTCCTCATGAACATAGAGCGACAGGCTCACCTGCGGCGGCGGGGGGCGCCACTCTCTCGTAGTGGTACGGGTTCACACACACGCTGTCGTACTTCAGGTCGAAGGCAAACTGACAGAAGGTTACATGTTTCAGCTCGTTCTTATGGAGGTCCGGCCAGCGCCACAGACGGGCATAGATCACATGAGGGAAGCCTTTTCTACCTGCTACCTGCCCACACACAGACAGGTGAGGGACAGACAGGCATAGATCACATGGGGGAAGCCTTTTCTACCTGCTACCTGCCCACAGACAGACAGGTGAGGGACAGACGGGCATAGATCACATGGGGGAAGCCTTTTCTACCTGCTACCTGCCCACAGACAGACAGGTGAGGGACAGACAGGCATAGATCACATGGGGGAAGCCTTTTCTACCTGCTACCTGCCCACAGACAGACAGGTGAGGGACAGACGGGCATAGATCACATGGGGGAAGCCTTTTCTACCTGCTACCTGCCCACAGACAGACAGGTGAGGGACAGACAGGCATAGATCACATGGGGGAAGCCTTTTCTACCTGCTACCTGCCCACAGACAGACAGGTGAGGGACAGACGGGCATAGATCACATGGGGGAAGCCTTTTCTACCTGCTACCTGCCCACAGACAGACAGGTGAGGGACAGACAGGCATAGATCACATGGGGGAAGCCTTTTCTACCTGCTACCTGCCCACAGACAGACAGGTGAGGGACAGACAGGCATAGATCACATGGGGGAAGCCTTTTCTACCTGCTACCTGCCCACAGACAGACAGGTGAGGGACCGACAGGCATAGATCACATGGTGGAAGCCTTTTCTAACTGCTAACTTGCCACAGACTGACAGGTGAGGGACAGACAGGCATAGATCACATGGACCACACCCCTCTCTGACAGAGAAGGACCGACACACCTGACAGATAACGAACTCATCCTGGAGACCAACATGTATAGTATTTTGATTAAAACTGAAGGACAGAAGACAACTGCAACTCCCACAATTCATTTTACTCACAATCATCCAATAACAGAGCTTGGTGCTAAAATCATAGAAACTGAATTATTGTGAGCACAGTGACTTGGTGGTTAATAGGGTGGTGGTTATCAGGGTGGTGGTTAGTACAGTGGTTTGTGGTTAATAGGGTGGTGGTTAGCAGGGTGGTGGTTAGTACGGTGGTTTGTGGTTAATAGGGTGGTGGTTAGCAGGGTGGTGGTTAGTACGGTGGTTTGGGGTAATAGGGCGGTGGTTAGCAGGGTGGTGGTTAGTACGGTAGTTTGTGGTTAATAGGGTGGTGGTTAGCAGGGTGGTGGTTAGTACGGTGGTTTGGTGGTGACTGTGGTTGTGTATGGCGATATGACATGAGACCAGTCCAGGGTTGACCCGTCCCCCCTGACGTAGGCCAGCGACCCTCTAAAGATAGCGGTGTAGAACATGATTGTACCCGAATGCTCTGCTGAGACTATATTGGACGTCCTACCTGCAGCCGTCCGTCCAGCGTCCTCTGGATGGTCACACATTTACTCGGGTGGAGGCCGTTGGTGGTCACTGCGGTGATGAGGGAGTCGAGCTCCTCCCTCTTCTCCTTCAGCTTCTTCAGCAGGCTCTCGATGGCGCGCTTGGCGAAGCCCTCGTTGTCGCCTCCCTGCCGATGGAACATCAGGCTGTGAACGATGCCGGGGCCGAGGACAGACATGGTCCCCTGATCAACGGAGACAGCCATGAGGGACAAGACAACAGTACTACTCAAACAGCTACACAATATTACAGCAGTAATACTAGTAGTACTACATTACTAAAACACTATAGTACTAAAATACTGAGGAACTATAATAGTGTTATTTCATTATTGTACTACTATGTTAAAACAGTACTGTCTACACATTACTAATGTAATAGTACAGTGAGCAAAGTACTGATCGGACAGACACAGAGACAAAGAGAGACGGACGCAGTAACGTGTTCAGACAGGTACATCCACTCACCGGGACGGTGATGTGCTGCGTGTGACGAGACGCGGCCGTCTTGTGTGTCTGTGTGTCTTCTGTGGGATCCAGACTGCCTGAGACAGAGCGCGTGTGTGTGTGCGTGTGTGCGTGTGTGGGTCATGCTCACCAGACAGCCAGACATAACAGGAAGTCAGGCGACGCCGACGTTTCATAAAAATAAGTGTAGTTTTTACTTCTCTCTAGGATTATATGTATTTAAAGCGTTAGTTGCTTTGCAATATTAAGAAAAAATGTACAAATTATATATTATGTATATGGTTTCAACTAATATATATATATATATATATATATATATATACACACACACACACACACACACACACACATGTGTGTGCATATATATATGCATTAAAGAGCAGTAGAGTAATTAGGAATAATCAGAATGCCCCACTTACGGACTGCATGAGGGTTCGGTTCCCACTGTCAGGCTTATGAACCTTAACAAACCCAGAACCAATCAGCCACAGGTCAACTTCACAGTATTTAAAGTAGTTTATGTAAATTAAATGTTACTATTAAGCTACTAAATGTAGAAATAAGTACAAATTAGATGAAAAACTAGCAACTTTCTGGACCTGGAAATCCAAAATAATCACCAGATAATAAATAATAACAATAAAGTGCGTAAATAAATAACTGAAGTAGATTGAGTGTTTTCTATGCACATGGACCCTCATTAAATAAGAAACGTGAGTATTAAATAAACTGAAGGTGAACAGCTGGGATCTAAACACAAAGTATTTAACGGAACATAACTCAGCTGCTGCTGTCAGACAACTCACGTGACGTCACGCTAACAGCTGGTATCAGACAACGCACGTGACGTGCCGCTGGCTAGCTGTTTCTGGACAAGGCGCGTGACGTCACGCTAACTAGCTGTTGCCAGACAACGCACGTGACGTGCCGCTGGCTAGCTGTTTCTGGACAAGGCACGTGACGTCACGCTAACTAGGTGGTGTCAGACAACGCACGTGACGTCACGCTAACTAGCTGGTATCAGACAAGGCACGTGACGTGCCGCTGGCTAGCCGTTTCTGGACAAGGCACGTGATGTCACGCTAACTAGCTGTTGCCAGACAACGCACGTGACGTGCCGCTAGCTAGCCGTTTCTGGACAAGGCGCGTGACGTCACGCTAACTAGCTGTTGCCACGATTACGCACGTGACGTCACGCTAACTAGCTGGTATCAGACAACGCACGTGACGTGCCGCTAGCTAGCTGGTATCAGACAACGCACGTGACGTGCCGCTAGCTAGCGTTAGCTGCAGCTGCTCGGTGGAGCCGCGTAGTACCAGGTGAGCTGTCGCCTCGTTGCGGACATTTAAGGTGAGCTTTCTACCTGTCTGATGTAACTGTAGAATTAAGTGTTGAACCGTTCGGTTTCCGCTAACGTTCCAATGCCCTGACGTTAATTAGGATTAGTTGTATCATGTAACGCTATTCATTGATAGTGCTGTATGGATTTCGGATGAATTAATGGTATTAACTTAACTTAAGTGTAACTAAAACAAAGCTAAACGCGTCGTTGCGTTCACAGAGTCTTTAGAAGGTTAAGCTAAGGCCGCTAGCGTGCTGCTAAAGATGCGCGCGACTCAATGATTCATAGTCAGAAAACACTTTATAGACCAAAGGTTCACACATGTGGACTCGTTAAGTTCTTCTCTCAAACTCGGCTGTCATCATTCCCCTTAAATACACCTTTTACTTAATGCTGCAGAGGTCAAAGGGCAGGTAGGCTCACGGGAACAGCTCGTGTTCGTCCTCACGGGCATCCGGTGCGGGTCCTGGTCGATCGGCGCGTGCGGGTCCTGGTCGATCAGCGTGCGGGTCCTGGTCGATCTGCGCGTGCGGGTCCTCGTCGATCGGCGCGTGCGGGTCCTGGTCGATCGGCGCGTGCGGGTCCTCGCGCAGGTACACGGACTCGGCTCTGCGTCACAGCGCGCCGGCAGGATGAGTCGCGGAGAACCGCAGCCGACAGATTCATCCGAAACAAGCTCGTTTTTCCCAAGAAGTACGTCGACAGTGTCTCTGGACGAGCGGTGAGACTCTGCTGCTCACAACAGAACTTTCATGTGAATCTTTCATTAGTTCATTAATTCATTTCTTTTGGGTCCAAAAAGAGGAAACCGGATGAGCTAATGGAACCCAGTATCATGTCGTCTCCCGTCTACCTGTAGCTTCTCTCAGGTGTTGGTAGACCAGAGGAGCCGGTCCAGAAGTGTAACCTTTGACCCGGTCATGCTGCGGCAGCAGGAGGGGTGCGTCCCCCCACAGACGCTGCTGCTGGTGGAGACGCAGAGGTCACGGTCGCTCCGCCTGCCGGTGAGTCACACAGGTGTAGATGTGGGAGGGGTTTCTCCAGGTGTGCACAGCTCCTCCCTGGTTAACCCTCTGATCCCCGTCCTGACCCGTCTGTGGGGCAGCGCTCCAGGAGGGGGAACGTCTGGACTCGACTCGGCTGGCATCAGGGCACGTCCAGACCTCCAGGCTTCTGGAGCTTCATGAACAAGTACAGGTGGAGAACCAGCTTCGCCTCCACCTGCAGAAGTAAGTACCTGGTGGTAGTTTTTGTTGCCTTCTTCGCCTGTAGCTACACCTGTACATGTGCCTCCTGTTCAGAACCAGGAAACATTCACAGACGACTCAGGAAGCGTCGCCTTGTGAGGATGACAAAGATCCACAAAATGATCAGTAAGTGGATCAAACGTACTTAATACTGTCCCACCTGCGCTCCCACCTGTGCTCACGCTCACTGCGCTCTGAGGGGCTCAGTCTTCATCACGTATGGGACGCAAACATGCGCAACATGTCATTCATGTACCCTTTTCAGGACGAACACACCTGCAGATGGGCGGGGTCATTTCCTCTGGGAGGCGGTGCATGAGCAAAGGTTGCATTCCGACGAAGCAGCAGCTGGACGCACAGCTGGACGAGTACATGTCCATGACCAAGAGCCGCCTGGACGCACAGCTGGACGAGTACATGTCCATGACCAAGAGCCGCCTGGACGCCGAGCTGGACGACTACATGTCCATGACAGGCCCGACAAACTGGGATTGAGGGGGGCGGAGCCAGAGGTCAGCGTTCCCACTGGTTGGATACAGTGTTCATTTGGATCTGGAGAGCTTATGTTTGTCCCTCAGGTGACCTCCAGCTGTTGTTTTACCTGCTTTGTTTCTGTTGGGCAGTGCGCACTTCACTGACCTCTCTACGCCCTCCGTTGTGTGACTGAGGTGCCGCTTTTGTGCCCCGAATTTAAAGTTTAATATTTTAATAAAAGATGTTCTGTTGAGTCGACTTTGTTTACTTCAGGTGTTCATCATTCCACTTTTCTCCTCCGATAGAGATCAGGACCCTGTTCCTCGTACGTGGTTCAACTAAGTCCATCAAATGTCCCGTTACCCAGCTCAGGTTACCGAGATGATTGACATCAGACTGTCTCGGTTCCTCGAAGGCGGATCGGCGCTCAAACGTCTCGTTAGTTTGAACCAGATGTCAATCATCAGGATAATCGTCTCACGTCAGAAGGCGGAAGAGTCGATCACAGAAACCAGGATTTTTAACAGTATGACGGTGAATAAACTTAAAGGAAGAGCAGGAGATGATCATGAACACATGAGCAGATAACATGTTCATTTGAATCATTTCTGTCGGATGAATTTAACGTATTATTCACATGTGTTCACACTGTAGAGACACATGAGGCACATTTGTGATACAAAATGACATGAGATGAATCCTATGATGATGTTAAAGACTGACAGCGCCCCCTGGAGGCTACAAGCCCCACAAAGTATCACACAAGGTAACGTTACGCGTGTCGGTCAAATGTGACGCTCATTTAAGGGCCTCGTCACTCTAATCAATCACATTATATTTAAATGTGTCTGCTGGCAGGAGGCTTCATGTGTCTGACACTGCGAGACATGAGACCGTATAGAGACAGTCCGTGGGACAGTGTGTGAGACCGTATAGAGACAGTGTGTGAGACCGTATAGAGACAGTCCGTGGGACAGTGGACGCTCAGCTCAGGGAATTCTTCTTGTAGATAAGTGGTTCTGGTCCTCAGCATCTGCGGCGCTCGTACAGGACGTCATGGTGACGTCATAACGGGTCTCTGTGATGTCATAGAAGTCTCTCCCTATAAAACGTTCATCTAACTGATGTCGCTCCTTCATCAGTGAGGAGAGATGAACTGATCCAGCAGCTCAGATGAACCGGAGCAGCTTCAGGTGTTTCCATGTGGTGATGTGGTGATTTAGACAAACCTTCTCCGGGAACCAAAAAGCCTGAACTACGTCATCTCATCCTGAAAATGATCCGTTTAACTCAGTCAGCCACGTAGAGGAACCGGGCCCGGTCGTCCACTGGGTGAAAGTCTTGACTTGTTGTGATGACGGTACAATCACGGCGTGCGGTTCATCGCGTCCACACAGACCCCCCGACAGGGGAGTCGTCTACGTTGTAACCGGCCAGACGGACAGTAAAAGCTACTGACGAATGTGAAAATGATGCTGACCTTTGACCCTGTGAGACTAACATCTTTCTCGCAGGGGTCAAAGGTCACAGGCCATGTTTGTACTCCCATTTAACGGGTGCAGAGGGTCTCACACTGAGGTCTGAGGACCCTCCAGGGGACACACAAGTTCTCTTTACTAACTGTTAAAGTCTGTTTACTTATTCCTCCTCATATCCAGCTGGTTTCAGCTACTGAAAGGCATTATGGGAAATGCAGTCAACAAAGAACGATGACAGAAAGCACATAACTGAGCGTGTCGGTTTCGTACGGTCTGGAGACAATAAGGAAGTGGACTCTGACCTCGCGTGTCGCTGTGGCCGAGACTCAAAACAACACTCGGCTGCATAACAGGACCGAAGAGTCTGTGGTTCTATTGAACAGAACCAAACAGAAGAGAATAGAACCTTCTTGCTGTGGCTGAGTAAAGAACTATGAAGCTGGACGTGAAGATTCAGATGCTGAACTTCTTCTTTGAAGTTTTTAACTTCATCTTCCTGGTGAGAAAACCTTTATTTATATATTTATAAATATTTATAGAACTATAAATATATTTGAATAACACATATATAATTATATTAACAACAGTTAAAGATAATGACAATTATATCATTCAAAATCACAACATTGTTTCACCTCAAATAAGAATAAGTCAGAAACAACCTTTAAACTTAATAACGTAAATGTTTGTAACGAGTTAAGAGCTGGTCTGGAATCAGCTTAAGTCCTTCTCACAGTTACCCCACGGCTAAGGGAGCTAACTGCCCCAAGCAGAAGGAAGCTAATAGCCCCAGCAGAAGGAAGCTAATAGCCCCAGCAGAAGGAAGCTAATAGCCCCATCAGAAGGAAGCTAATAGCCCCAGCAGAAGGAAGCTAATAGCCCCAGCAGAAGGAAGCTAATAGCCCCAGCAGAAGGAAGCTAATAGCCCCAGAAGAAGGAAGCTAATAGCCCCTGCAGAAGGAAGCTAATAGCCCCAGCAGAAGGAAGCTAATAGCCCCAGCAGAAGGAGTCTGCACTTCATCTGAACATATCGATGCAGAGATCGTTGGTTTTTGTGTCCAGTAGTGGACCAGTAGTGTGAAATGGGGACCTGTCCCTTGACCTCCATCTGCAGGTTCTTGGTTTCAGTGTGTGCGGCATCGGACTCTGGATCCGGTTTGATGGCGGAAGCTTACTGAACGTCCACGCCCCAGGTATCAGCCTCCCGCTGTAAAGGAACTCCCCCGTCTTCTTCTGTGGTATAGACAGTCAATCAATCATACTCTGTGTGCGCAGACGAGTTGCGCGTCGTGGGGGCGGGGCTTATGCTCATTGGCCTGGTGGTGTTGGCGGTCAGCACCGTCGGGATCGTCGGAGCCATCAAAGAGGTCCGAGTCCTGCTGCTGGTGGTGAGTTGCTGCCTGTGACGCCGACGTGACCTTTGCTCTGTGAACATGTTGACGCTGGCTGTGCTCCTCAGTACATGGGCCTCCTCATCGCACTGGTCCTGGGTCAGCTGTTCATCGCACTGCTGCTGCTCATTAACAGAAACACGGTGAGATCTTTTTAAACTGTAGATGGGCGGGACGTTGCACTAGTCTTTAAGTAATAAATACAGGTTTCACGGTTCTCATCAGATTGAACAGAGTCTGGATCAAACTGTGGACCAGATCATCGTCTCGTACAGAGGACACAACAGGACGGACACACTGATGGACCGAATCCAGCGCTACGTGAGTCATCAGTCCTCCCCTCCAATCAGTGTGCAGCTTCTGTCCCACATGACGTGACGTTGCACCACTCACAGGGAAGCTGCTGCGGCAGGAACGGCCCGTCTGACTGGCGGCTGAACTCCTTCCTCCAGAGCCTGAACCTGACCAACCGGGACCTGCTTCCCTGTTCCTGTTTCAATTCCAGCCGCCCCACAGCCGACTCGCCGTGGTGCTCAGAGCTCCAGAACCTCACCGGACCTGTTTACGGGTCTTATGAGCAGGTACACACACAAACACACAAAGACACACACACACAGATAAATTGGTTTGAACCAAATGTTGTTGTGTTAAATGTAAAATGTGGTCTCATTTACAGTATGATTTGTATTATTTATATCATATGTTACTTATTTGTCTTTAGTTCATATTCTGTGTTTACGCGTTTTGTTGCAGGGTTGCAGGCAGAAGCTCATTGATTGGCTGCAAGAAAACATGCTGACAGTCGTTGCCATGGACACCGCACTCATGTTGATCCAGGTAACAAGACCAGTACCAGCCCCAGAGACCAGACCAGAACCAGATACCAGAACCAAAGAACACAATCAGAATTCCAGGCCTGGAAGCAGAAGAGACAAACAAGATCAAGATCATAAATCTGTTTCTATCTCAATGTCGACTCTGCTTCTCAGAGGCTGAAGAAATGATCAATTATGAAGCAACAGAAATGGAAAAGAGATATTTGGATTATTTGTAATCAGAAGAGCAGCGCTGAGCTTCTCGCCGGCTCTGTGGGGGTAACAGGTGTGTACGTGACCGGTCCCCAGGTGGTCCAGTTCGTCATCTCCGTGTATCTGTACCGGGCGCTGGGAAGCAGAACCGTCCCCTAGGACCCGGACCCCGGAGCGCACTCGGAGCTCGGGGGTCAGAACTACGCCTACGTGGACCCTGACAACGGTGACTTAGGCCCCGCCCACACCGCACATCGCCACAACTAATACCACGACACAGATGACCTGGCATATGACCACCGCAACCAGGACTACTACTAAATCTTTGATGATGATGATGATGAGGATGAGGATGGTAATATTCATGGTGATGATGATGATGATGATTGTGTGGTGATTTGATGATGATGATGATGATGATTGTGGTGATTATGATTTGATGATGATGATGATTGTGGTGATGATGATGATGATGGTGATTATCATAGTGATGATGATTATAGTGGTGATGGTGATCATGATTATGGTGATGATGATGATGATGGTGATGATGATTATGGTGATGATGGTGGTTATTATAGTGATGATGATGATGGTGATGATGATTATGGTGATGATGGTGGTTATTATAGTGATGATGGTGATGATGGTGGTTATTGTAGTGATGATGATGATTATGATGATGATGGTGATGATAATTATGATGACGATGAGGATAAGGATGAAGATGATGTTGTCATTGTCTCCTCAGCAGATCTTCACTACGCCGCTCTGAGACTTGACTCCCTCAGGCAGAAGAACCATCAGACTCGTCACTTATGCAGAAACATGAAATGAACACGCTGACGAATAGACTCACAGGTGAATTAAGAGCTAGTTCTGTCATTTATTAACTAAACTAGATAACTAAGTTCTTTTTAGGTTAAATATTCACGTTACATGTTGGACCTTGTTTCCAGCTTTGTTTAAAACTTCTAATAATAAAAATGTTGATGTGAAATGTTCATGTTTGTTTAATTATTTTGTTATTAAACAGAAACATTTCATTTGGTTTGAATCCAGAAACTGATTTTCTGTTTTCACATTAATTAAATGAAATAAAGTAATCAATTAATGAGTGAAGTCATTCAAATACTAGGTATGATGTAATGGGAGAGAGGAGGCGAAGGAAGCAGGTCTCGCATTCATAAGTCGTGGCGCAGGGGTTAGAGAAGGAAGCACAAGGTTGGTGGTTTGATTCCAGGCTGCCCCATGTTCCATGTCGAAGTGTCCCTGAGCAAGACACCTAACCCCTAATTGCTCCCCGGGCAAAAGCCATGAGTTTAAAGTGTAATGTAAGTCGCTTTGGATAAAAGCGTCAGCTAAATGACCTGTGATGTAATAAGTAGATTCATCAATTTGCATCGATCTGCATTCTCTGTAGTGACCAGCAGGGGGCGACTTTTCTGGTCCCATAGACGTCTATGAGGAAATCAGAGACTCGTCCCGTCCCGTGTTTGTCCCGTATTTTCCGAGTTGTCTTCAATGCAGCATCCCATGCAAATAAACCTACCCGAATTCGTCCCATTCGACACTCGTTGGTTTGGTTGCGTCCAGATACATGTGTGTGCGCGTGTGTGTGTGTGTGTGTGTGTGTGTGTGTGTGTGCGTGTGTGTGTGTGTGTGTGTGTGTGTGTGTGTGTGTGCGCGTGTGTTTGTTTGTGTTTTCATCATATTCATTTATTAATGACTAATTTCCTTGAACTTGGGATTTGGGTTATTTTCCTTTATTGCATCATTGTGTCATGTGACTCATTTTACTGAAGTATTTCACACAGAAAACAACTCATATTCTTTGATTTTCTGATAAAAGTATAAGACTAAATTTAATATGATAAAATGTTTTTATACAATTGATATTAATTACTATAATATTATATATATTATAATATTAGTTCATTTAGCTTATTGCCCTATATCTATAATCTATATCTATAATCTATATCTATAATCTATATCTATAAGGTAACACAACCTTTGGTTTTGCTGCAGCACAAAGAAATAAATTCAGGTAAAAAAGGAACGAAAAAAACATTGGATTTAAATAATAACGATACATCCAATAGATATAACTTGTTACAGAGGAGGAGCGATAATACTCTTAGTTAGCATTAAGCTAAGAACACTAGCATAAAGCTAACGTTATGCTAGTGTTGCACACCTGCTACCTGCTGAGGTCACACTGAGGAGGCGGAGACGACACAACTCACCACGGTTTTATTGTCAGTTTACATCTCTTCAGGTCAGCAGGAGGGGGCGGAGTTTATGTCACATGACCGCCGCGTTATTGCCCAGTTCATCGCAGGTCAAACAACTCCGTGGTCAGAGTCCCCAGCATGCCGAGCAGCAGCAGGCCCCACGGCGCCCGCCGCGGGCCGGCTGCGGCGAGTGGCGGGAGGTGAACACTGCGCGCGTCCGGGATCATGTCAGCGGCGTCCTGCAGCGCGCTGACGGCCGCCGCGCTGGAGTTGAGGTCCCCGCTGGCGATCAGGTCGAACACGCAGGCCTGGTAGTACACGCCTCTGGCGGGGAGCATCGCTGCGCAGTGAGCCTTTGCGCCGGCGACGGTCTGCGAGTCGGGCGGCGGCCCCGGTGGGCTGAGCGTGTTGAGTGTCTGGGAGGCGGGGCATCCCCACACGCACAGCTGGAGGTCTTGCTCGGCCCCGAAGGCCTCCACCACGCCACGCGGCGAGCGCACCGACAGGCCCAGCGATCTGGGTCGGTCTGACGGACCACCAGCAGCGTGCCGATGTGAGTCGCCCGGATCTCGGCGTGGCGCCCGGGGCTCTGAGTCCGGACCGTCAGGCTGTGGCGACCTCGCCTCTCGCCGCTGGCCACCGAGCCGTCGGCGAAGGCGGCCGGAACGTTGTTGAGCTCGGCTTGGTAGAGCTGCTGCTCCACGCACTGGCGCCAGTTCTTGAAGATGATGGTGATCTGCGGAGCAACGAGAGCTTCATGGTCATTGGGGCCGCCCTCAGGTCGCCTCTGACATCACGAGCTCAGACTCACCTTGGTGACGGCAGTGGCGTGCATCCCCTCTCGCGCCGGCGCGCTCGTGGCCTGCACGTACAGGTACTCGTTGTCGATTAGAGGCCACGCCTCCCGCACGCGCAGTCTGGAAGTCGTTGTTGAAGGTCCTCACGTGTGGGTCTCCGAACACGCCGCAGTGCAGGTACTCAGGCGCCCGGCCCTCCCTGGCGAGGAGGCTCTTCTCGTAGAGGCAGGCGTCCCCTGACAACGTGCCCTGGGGGGGGGGGCGTGGCTGGGCGGTGGGCCCGGCCCGCGGGCAGCGGTGCTGGATCAGCAGGTCTTCAATCCCCTGGACTGCCGAGTGATACGCCAGGTCGCCGCGGCACGCCCGCGCCATCCGCTTGGTGCACGTGGCGTAAGACCGCAGGGCGCCGCAGTAGCCGGTGTTCGCCGCCTCGCTGCTGAGAGCTGCTAATCCAGAGGCTCCGTCTCTTCCTCCCGAGGCTCCGCCCCCTGCGGCGCTGTTCCCCAGGGCGTTCAAGGGGGGCCACAAAGTCAGAGTTACACCTCAGGATGTGTTAGGAAGCTCCCACTGCAGAGAGGACGTGCGTAAACATCTCCCCCTTGATGATGTCACAGTGATGTCATCGCAGTACATTTTCTTCACATGTGAGGGTCAAAGGTCAGAACAGATTGTAAACTGAGTCATTTGAGATTTGGGCTGTATGATATAATTTAATTTAACTGTTCATCAAATGTTTTTGTATTTAAAATGATAACTGTCTCAACTGCCTGATTCTAAGTTACGTGTTTAATATTCTGTACATTCAATCACAAATTATAACTCAAATTATATTTTTTAATTCTTCAGTATTCTGAAGTAGTTCAGATAAGGATGGTGATGCTCTGTTGACAACAGCTTCCCATTGTGGGAACGTATGACTGAGTTCACTCAGACGAACACTTTATTGTCACATGACACCATGTTTTATGTCTGACGCTGTTGGTTTGCACTCAAAGGCTTTTATTTTGAAGGCCAGCCCACAGCAGTTAGCCTTAAGCAACCGGATGCTAGCAGGACGTCTACCTTCCGGTGAAATCAGCAGCACGGCCAGCTGCAACGTCAGGTGGATGCCGGGGTTCCACGGTAACGCCATCAGCTGAGGGTGGAGTGGAAGAAGATGATGACGTAGATGATGATGTCACACTCACCTGTCCAGCGTCAGGTAGCATTAGTACTTTAACTGTATTGATCCACATTGAATGACATAATTATCCTGCTTCAGACCAGTTTCACTGTATTTACTATCAGACTGATCAATAGACTCATCAAAGAATATAATCAGGGCTAAGAACTGAATCTTCAGGACTTTGATGTTTCACTCGTTGACCTTCAGATGTTTCCTGTGGATCAATAGATCTCCTGAGTATTGACGAAGGTCCTCACCAGGAGACTCATGAAGGACCTGGACTGAGAGTGCTGTAACTTGGACCTCGTCTGTTTGCTCTGCTGACAAACAGACGGGGCAGCGTGGGCGGGGCTTACAGCGGCGTTGCTCATTCATTGGTCAGACAGTCAGTCAGAGCCCACAATTACTAGACCTTCAATTCATTTTATTTCACAAGAAGAACCTCCGTCCTGAAACCTTCATAACACAGACCTTCAGGGGCCAGAGACAACTAGACCCTTCAATTCATTTTATTTTGTAGAGCCCAAAATCGCAAATGACAAATTAGCCTCAGAGTCTGAACACAAGAAGAACCTCCGTCCTGAAACCTTCACATCGACTCCCCCAGATGAAAACGCCTCCCATGGGGAGAAAAGGGAACCTCAGTGAGAACGTCATCCGTCTCGAGCTTCACCTTCAGAGGCCAGAGACAACTAGACCCCAGAGACAACTAGACCTTCAGGGGCCAGAGACAACTAGACCCCAGAGACAACTAGACCTTCAGGGGCCAGAGACAACTAGACCCCAGAGACAACTAGACCTTCAGAGGCCAGAGACAACTAGACCCCAGAGACAACTAGACCTTCAGGGGCCAGAGACAACTAGACCCCAGAGACAACTAGACCTTCAGAGGCCAGAGACAACTAGACCCCAGAGACAACTAGACCTTCAGGGGCCAGAGACAACTAGCCCTTCAGGGGCCAGAGACAACTAAAGAGACAAAGAATGCTAGACCTTTAAGGTCCCAAGATTACGAGACGTTCAGGGGGCTAAAGACAACTAGACCATCAGAGGACCAGGATTATGAAACCCTCACGGGATAAAGACATTTAGACCTTCTAGGGTCCAAGACTAATAGACCTACAGGGGTCCAGGACCTTCAAAGGCATGCGACCATCAGGAGCCGTAAGTTCTGTTAGTAAAGATGTTGCTGGGAACATAACTGGCTATAATCTAAACGTACGAGGAGAAAACGGTGCACTGCTCCTTTAAGAGTCACGAATGACCTTCAACCCTCAGTGACAGGGGGCGGGGCCTAAAGTGTGTGTGTCTGTGGGGGAAGTCTAATTATAAACCCCAGTTGCCCCGCAGTTACACACACGCACACACATTATTTATGACAATAAAAATAAAATAAGTAAGCAGTTATATTGTTAACAGAGTAAAAGCTCTAATATGACTTTATAAATACTAATTAATTGATCTATTACAAACAGGTTACATTCTGTTTTTCATAACTCGTATAAAGATAATTAATGAAGAAATAAAGGAGAGTAACAGAGACATGCGGATTGATTGATTCATAACAATGGAGCCTCCATCTCCCACAATGCACCTGGACAAGCGTCATTCATTGGAGGCTGAAGTTATTAACACGTTATTTGCGTTACTGAAACTTGAATAGACTGATTGGTTTCTCACCTTCAGTGACTCAGGATCAGACTCTGTCCATGTCCTCAGGTCCCTCTCGCTGTCTCTTGGTCCCCTGAGGACTCCGGGCTCGGCTGTGTCTCCTCTGGGTTCTGGTCTTTGCTCTGAGGAGAGTTCAGAGTTCTGTGAGAGCTTCAGTCCATTCTAAATAAATCTCCAACAAGCAGCACCTGCTGCACGACAACTGTCACACACACACACACACACACACACACACACACACACACACAGTTTATTTTAATTTCAGACCTCAAGGAAGGTGAAACTTTATTTAAAACCTGTATTCTGACAAAGCTTTATTCAGTTAAGTTTTTTGTTTTATTGATTTAGAAGAAAAAACATGAACAGGCACATAATATGTATAATACGCATAATATATATACACAGGATATATACGCATACATATATATATACATACTATATATACACAGGATATATACGCATATATATACATACTATATATACACAGGATATATACGCATATATATACATACTATATATACAGGATATATACGCATATATATACATATATATACATACTATATATACACAGGATATATACGCATATATATACATACTATATATACAGGATATATACGCATATATACATATATACATACTATATATACACAGGATATACGCATATATACATACTATACACAGTATATATACGCATATATATACATACTATATATAAACAAGATATATACGCATATATATATATATATATATATATATATATATATATAGGGGGCAGCGGGGGGGGCAGCGGGGGGCAGCAGGGGGGCAGCAGGGGCAGCGGGGGGCAGCAGGGGGGCAGCGGTGGGCAGCGGGGGGGCAGCGGGGGGCAGCGGGGGGGCAGCGGGGGGCAGCGGGGGGCAGCGGAGGGCAGCACCCTGCAATAGAAACTCCTCTAAGGATGAAATGACTTTGAGCTTCAGATGAAGTTTGTGAGGCTGCAGCAGGTCGTTGGCCCTTTAAGAGGAGCCCCCACGCCTCACTGAGCATCTCAGGGCCTTTGTTAGGGTGTAGAGGAGGGGGGGCTTCCAGGACCAAAACCAGGACCGCCGGACTGAGACCTCCACAGAGAGAAGCCTCGGCAGAGCGGTGAGTCCAGAACTTCAGCGCCTCTGAAGAGTTTAAACTTGGAACCTGAATGCATTACTTTATGTTGTAAAAGTGTTTCTTATATTTTATGACAGAAGATGATGGTGACGACATAATGGTTACTCATTAATTTGTGCTTTTTCTTTATTTCATGGAGTTTGTTATTTCATCCTCAAATTAATTATCAATCAGCCGTGGATCACAAAGTATTGATTTTGATCATAACGTTTATATTAGATGATTGATAGGTGTGCTCTCTGCTGCCCCAGCTGGTCACAAACAGAACAGACTTCTACAAAACCCTGGGACATATTTGAGAGACACCTTGTCTATTTACACATCTGGCTAGCTAGATGTTAGCTAGCTAGCTTGTCCTTCTCTATAACGGACTCGCTAGCTGGCTAGATGAGGATCTCCACAGGTCGATAGTCAGCCTGTTGCTGTCCAGCTCTGCCTGCTGAGTGCTGAAGTGGTCTTCTGGGGGCGAGGTGCAGCCCACGTGGTCCGTGAACCCAGTGTAACCAGTGTAACCAGTGTAGCGTGGAAGCAGGTGCAATTAGCACGGTCGCTAATGAGGGAAATGTAACAAGCTAATGCTCCACTAGCTTGTTGCTGCTGGTCTGTTGTGTGTCATCTGTCCCTGTGTGTGTTCCAGGGTGCGTGCTGTGTCTCCTCCTGGGGTCAGGTAGGTCCGGGATAAGTTGCAGTGTTGACACCCCCCCCTCCAATATTGCACTCGTCCCGGCCTCCCTGGCCCCGGGGTCACGACCTCCCTCCAGACCGCAGCAGAGGAACGTTGCCGTCCAGAGAGACGAGTCAGAAGACACGCTGACGTGTCCAACTGCACATGTGTATCAAATGGACCCATTAGCAAATGTTACGATGCTAAGACGTTGAGCATTAGCATATTACACAGTGAATGCAGCAGACAAGAGATTTAGAGTTCTAAAAAACAAAAAACAATAGTTTTAGATAAGAATCAAGGCCGCAAGTTTATTTCAACAAAGATATATACATTAATAAAACACACAGAAACAGGTCAAAGGTGAAACGATCCGACGACTCATGTGAGTTCACACTGGACAGATGGGACCGGTCCTCAAACTAATTAGAATTCTTCACAACAAAAGTCCATGTTAGTTTCGTTGCTACTAACAAAAGCTCTGCTAATTTGGTAAGGAACCAATTTTCTATACTTTTTCCACAATAAAAGTCTATCCTTAATATCTTATTTGAACGCTTTTATTTTTGAAGACATAATGACTGAAGGAGGACGATGATGGACGACAGGGGACAAGAGTTGCCACAGTAACGTGAGCTCATCCTTTTTTAGCAAAGTGTTTTTTTGTTTGATAAACTGAACAAAAAGACAAATAAACATCATTTAGGTAACGATGGGACGTCTGATGTTTGTGTCTTTTTTATTCAATGCGTCCTGTTAGTCTGCAGAAACAGATGTTCCACACCTGCAGTCCCGTGTGTGTGTGTGTGTGTGTGTGTGTGTGTGTGTGTGTGTGTGTGTGTGTGTGTGACCCTCTCACAGCTGGATGTGCATCATAAATTGTTTACGATGAGTCTGGAAGTCTTCTGGCACCGTGTCTACAATGACAACAAACAAATAATAATCAATAAACTGTGATGCTCTACTTCCTGTATTTAAAACCATCACTCACCAATCACTCACAAAGCTGATCAATTGATCTCAGTGACTTTTTAGAAAGGTGTGTGCTCGGGGTCAAAGGTCGTACCGTTGCACCTGTAGCGCAAGTTGGACCAGATGATGTTCTCCTGGGAGAAACAGAAGACTCCCAGTCGGCCTCCCCTCATGGACGTGTCCACCACCACGCCAGAGTCCGCCACCATCTCAGTCCCCTCAAACAGCCGCACCCTGGAGCACAGACGGACGGACGGACAGGTGACAAACAGCAGACGGACGGACGGACAGGTGACAAACAGCAGACGGACGGACGGACGGACAGGTGACCAACCGCAGACGGACGGACGGACGGACAGGTGACAAACAGCAGACGGACGGACGGACAGGTGACAAACAGCAGACGGACGGACGGACAGGTGACAAACAGCAGACGGACGGACAGGTGACAAACAGCAGACGGACGGACGGACGGACAGGTGACAAACCGCAGACGGACAGATGGACGGACAGGTGA